TTGCTAGATGCCACACGTGATAAGATACTCCGCTAGATATCAGCGAAGCATGCTGGAAGCAGCTTATCCGCGCAATTTCTATCAAGTGCGGTGGCTGCCACGTCATTTCCGGTGACACGCCCAATCAGACTTCGAGATTTGGAGTGTACAGTGAGTTGATCTCTCAACAACTGGCGCGTGTTCACATGTAATTTTTCACAAAATGACGTTACAACTCATGCCAGATGAAAACCCTACAAGCAATGAAAAATCTAGTTCAACCTGTGCAAGTATATTATGCTGAACATCATTGGGATGATAATGATCATTTCCAATCTCTTCACTACCGCCCTGTATAATAGCCCCATTCGAGAAATTTGTTTATCCCTTTGTATGAACAGTTTTGATTCCTGCTACATATTTTATTGCTTCACTACCTTTACAAAATGATAGTATTCTGTTACATTTTATTTGTTATTTCACAGGAAGGTAGATGTAACACCTATATGTGCGATATAATACCAAAATTTCAGAGAAAAAACTGAATGATAATTACACTTTCCGCCCAACACGGAGTACAAATAGACGCCGGTCATACGCGCTGTGGTGCGAAAAGGGTTTATTCTGAATGAGAAACTCTTTCACACTCATTCTATATAAGGCAGCCCGAAAATAGGGCGAAACGATAAATACTGGGAATTCTAGGGGTGCGTATGTGCTCAACAAACGCACAATAAGTTTAGCTGACTCCCTAAATCTTACCACTGGTCTCGAACCAGCGAAAGGGAGAAACGAGAGAAATATCAGCTAACAGTTGAGGCTCAACGGCTACCTACCAGTGGGTCGGTATATCAGCTAAATAAAACAAGCACAGAGAGGTCCGGAGCGGCGCAGATGGAAGCGAGAGCTCTGAGTGCAGTGGGGCAAACGGCGACCTGAAGGGACCTGCAGACAAAAACCGCCGCAGGATTTGGAGTGCACAGGAAGAAAAGCCGACGAGGCATGGGGACTGTCTACGAATTTGCACCTACAACTGTCGTACCATCGCCTCAGCGGCCGACCAAACCATCTTGATGGAGGCCAGCAAGAAGCTTCGCTTTGACGTCATCGCCCTCCAGGAAACAAAAACCAAGGAAACAGCCACCAAGGAAGACTAACGACGGCCACCTACTTGTTCTAGGAGCCAAAGTGGATGGAAGAAACGTTGGCGGCGTCGGATTCCTCGTCCACCAACGGATTGAGCACCTGGTCGACTCAACCGAGGTATTCGGCCCGCGACTGGCCATTCTCCGCCTACGCATCGACAAGCGCACACTAGAAAAGTGCATTCTATGATGTCTGGATTGTGCACGGTCAAACGAGGGCATTTCTATAAAGGACGTTGTTGGAAACTCAGCCGACGCCGAGGCGAACGCAGGCGACAGCAGCATTGGCCATTACGGACGGCGATCGAACAAACAGAGATCGTTCGATTGGATGTCTCTGAAGCAACGTCAGACTGTTTCACAACTGCTTCTTGGTTCTTCATGTAGATGGAGGGCCGCCGGTGGACATAGGAGAGCCCTAATCGCAGCAGCACCAACGAAATCGACCACGTTCTCACCAACAGAAAATCGACCGTTTTCCACCACGCAAAAACGTGAAGTTTGCTTGACGTCAGCAAGGTAGATGCATTCCGTTCGGGAGTGACCATAGGTGTCAGAGTCAAATTCGCTTCCAAATGTTAGTAACGGACCACTTCCAACCTCCTCCCATACGACTGCCGCAATACGACACAAACGCCTTGAAAGTAGCTGCTGTTCACTATCCATGACAAGAGTCGCACGACTTGTCCCAGAAGTATTACTTGCTTCTAGAAGGACTTCTACACCGCGCCAGGGCATCGGCGTAAACAGCAGTGGTACTGCACTCGAGAGCAGATCGATGACAAGGCTCGCTACCTCGGCCAACCCGAGCTGTTGTCCGCGTAAGTTCTGCGGTCACACCGGCAACGAAGCGTGCCGGTACATCACATGGCAAGGCAGATTCAAAGCTTCAATACCACTAAAGGTGGAAAAAGGCGGCGAAAGCCAGAGCGGACTTAGGCGACGGTCTCACGACATTGGCACGCTCTCGCTCGGTTCGTTTATTGCGATGGGCGACCCCAGAAATAGTTAGCGAGGGTAAAAAGTCGTTCGTCACTTCTATATGGAACCCATTGTACCGAAGCAATTCTTCGCGCCTGACCACACAAGGTAGTTCCGTGGATAGTAGAGAGGAAGCGTGACACAGCTTACGTCGCAGAGCCGAGGAAGGTACCCGGACCGGACCATTCAGTGACCTTAACGGTTCTTAGGTGGCGAGCGCGACAGTAAGATCACGCAAGGCCACAGCCAGCTGCTGCAGAAGGTATCCAACAAACAATTACTTTAAAGACAAGAAACGGGAAGCGCTGGAACATGTACGGCCGTTGGCAAGGCTTCTGCTGAAATGGAAACATTCCAAACTTTATGTAGTGATTGAGAGACGCGATACACGCATCGGGGCCCCTGTTATCATTAAAACGAAGGCATTTGAAAATGGAGCGAACGCTTGCGGGGAACGCACTCCCTACCCGGTTGGACCTACATTGAGCCAGCTGATTAAGCGCTGTGAAAACAATGCAAGAGGGACACGTAACACTACCTAGCATCTCCTCCAACGAGATTCGCTGTGTTGGTTCGAAAAAGAGTGAGGCAGGAGTAAGGTCTCCCCAGCTATTCACTTGCTCACTTCACCACCGCCGATGCTGCGGCGACACTAAGGCTATACACTTACGTTGCGAGGCGATATTTCGTCGGGCATTTAGGTAAAGTCAACCCCTGCGGCGATGTGAGGGGGAGTTGGGCGAGTTGGCAGAGCCGGACATCACGATGAACGGAGCCAAACCAAGATTCGACGCGACGAATGGGCAGATGCGTCACCTATCATACTCGGAGGCGCCGCACTACCCGGACACCGACTGCTATGTGTACCTCGGTCGACTCATCTCCGTGGACAACAACTTGCGCGCAGAGATCATGAGGCGCAAGAAATGCGCATGGACGGCAATGGGAAGCATCAGAGGCGGCTCAGCTCATCTCGGACAAGAAGATACGAGCTGACCTATTCGACTCTACGGTACTGCCCGCACTCTGCTACGCATCCGAGACGTGGGCAAAGAACAAGACGTCTATGCGCTCAATGTCCGGCAGCCTTGACACCGCAGCGTATACATGGGGCGCAAAGAAACGATGGACCGGACACTGTGGACTGTGGTGTCAGAATACAGGAGGATCGGTGGACCACACGCGTTACGTTCTGGTATCCACGAGACGTGAAGCGCACACTTGGCCGTCCTGCAACACGATGGAGAGACTCCCTGAAGAAACTTCAAGAAGATGCGGGCCAACACTGGGCCCAAACCGCTCAAGATCGTCAAAAATGGAGGGAAGCGTGTGCTCGCCGCTGAAGATCATCGGCTGACAACGAGCATACAAGTATCAAGTGAGTGAAGCTAGTTTTAAACCTCTCAGCATATCAGATGCAGACTTTTAATGAATGGACAAGGAACGTACCTGATCATCTACATTAATTCCAGTTACCTGCACGATACATTCTTGCAGTTCCCGAACTTTCCAGTGGAGCTGAAACAATCAAACTCAGTGATTGCGATAGGCACAAGAAGGGGGCATGCCTACTGCTGAATTAAGGTTGTACTGTGCTGTAAAATCCTGGCTTTATTACACACTCTTCTCCAAAATATGAAGCAAAATGATCCATACAAACTCTTCCTCTTTAGACTTCCCCTGATTACATAGGATACATGATAGATTTTTGTAGATTTATCCACTGATGTATGGCATTATCGCACGCTGATAGTCAAAATTCTTGCGCGTTGATTTACATACTTGCCGTTCTGCTTTTTTCTCAATGAATCCTACATCTACACGCGGAAAACGACAATAGCCTTTTTTAGCAATGTTTCCTAGCAGAACACAAGCGGCGTGTATCCTCAACCATTCTGTAGGATTCTATCACTGAGTCTTCCATACGTGGGTCACCAGTAGTCAGGACTTGTTGCCTTGAATGACCCCATCTTCTTTAGAGGCGTTCCCGTTTCTCCCACGATTTTTTTCTGGATGGAAGCGAGCGTACTTTCTTGCAACGTCTTATTTGTGCACAACTTATCAGGAAGCTCTACAAGCCTAAAATCTCTAACATCTAATTGATGCGTGGAAACTGAATAGAAACTGAAGTTGCTTCAAGAGATTGTCTCACTCGTAATAACTCGTTTTACAATCGTTCGCCTGATGAGAAGACATTTCTGCTTCTATCGAATAATAAGATGAGACTGACCAATCTAAATGAAAAGCCAACCAGCCATTATGATGCTTTCACAAAACATAGCAGAATCTACGATTCGAAGACACCTCGGACCTCTGCGACCTAAGATGTAAAACTATAGTAAAAATCGTCTCGATCTCTCTTGTTTCGGTTGATGCTTCGGAGCGAAGGGATCCTCGGTAGGAAACGCAGTAGGCGCCCCACTCTCAATGCAAAGAATTGTTCCCAAATCCATGCCAACAGAATATCGTGGATTTCATCATATTAGAGAAGTGACAACATAGCTCTTACCAAATCCATATTCCTGGTAGTGCTCTGTATTGATGTGTCTAAGGCGAAGAATTGCATTAAGCCTAATAGGAACATCGAATAGTTGACGAGTCGCTCCTGAAAGTCTTGGACCACTCGACATGACTTTCCTACACAACTGTGTCGATGGCTTTCTAGAAAACCTCTTGTTTATTCAACAACGCAGAAGACGACACTCCAAAGGGCAATACTGTTTCCTGTTTGGTAACTCTTCCGCATCGTATCACTTATTGTGATTTTAGAACTTATAACTTTCTTTTCTTCTTTCCCCACATTGCTTTATGACCAATATGGTTACCGTAGTTTTGCTCATCCTGTATAAGCATCGGTAAACAAGTGCGCCAGGAGACTACCGTTTACTTTTCCTTCAATCGTCACTACTTGATTCTTGCAGGCTCACACCTTTCGACTTGTTTCATGAGCTGATCTTAGAGTGCATTTCCGTGCCGGTTGTGTGACTGATCGTCCTCATAGCCATTTATTCGCTATAAGTTTCACCGTCTTCGAAATTATTGGGATTACAGTGGTGAACAATGCGAGTCTGCGTGTTTTAGAAGTCGCTCCCTGTGACTCACAACCAAAATCGTTGTGGACAATTGTAACCGCCTTTCGAAGCGTCAACAAGTCCAATGAGGTCATCTGCGGCATCGGCTCCATACAATGCACAGCAGTAATAACTTAATAGCTTGCTGGATGTATTGGTGAACAGTTCATAATTACAATGGTACTTGTTCTAAAACAAGTGCTTCAATATTCATACAGCATCAGTGTTTAATAATACATCCTCTAGGTAACATCTCTTGTCTCGAAACATTTCCTCTAGCCGTGTTGACTTTTCTGATTATTAGGCCGTCCAGATAGAAGTGCGGATTTTTGACCTCCACCTTCAAGGAGTATATCTCAGCTCAAAGTCAACATTTTTAGTCACTGCAAAGACTATTGGAAACTACGCGTCTTTCTTGACAGAAAGCAGGCTGAATTGATAGATACTTCATTATAGAACACGGAGGGGGTGGGGAATTGTCGAAGCCTCATTTGCCATTCGCTCAAATGTTTTCCTGTCTGAAACTAGCAAGATGACCGAAAAAGTGAAAGTCGTTGAGAGGAGAGAGAGCAGAGAGAGATGATCAGTTGTGGACGTGCACCATCTGAAGTAAAGGTGGATTAGGCATTCGCCAGCCCCGCAGTCTTTTATGTGACATTTGTCTGAAGGCTACATGAGTGACGATTTTACCCTCTTCCTGGCTAGATCTTGCTCTTCCGGTGTAATAACTTCGTATAGCAAGCATATACTGTCCTCGCTATTAACGCTATCATACTATTATATAAACCAGAGTTTGTTTGTCTGACCGCTCCCCAAAAATTCACAAGTGTCCCCCACATGTTTATAATTCTTCCTTCAAAAATCACCTAGGGAGGGCGGGTCAAGTTTGGAATGGGTAGAGTATGAGTCGCTCTCTAAGGGGAATATATTGGCCATGCTAAACTCCGCCTCCAGTGGGCGGGGCGTGCGTCGAAATGAAAAAATTTGGTGAAAAAATTGCAGTTTTTGGCTTCAGAACAGTCTAAAGACAGGGAAAAAATAAGGCCTTAATAGGGCACTTACCGCTCTATAAGGGAATATATTGGCCATGCTAAACTCCACCCCAGTAGGCGGGGCGTGCGTCAAAAATCGAAATTTCGTTGAAAAAATTGAAATTTTTGCTCTCTGGACATCCCAAAGGTCATGAAAAATAAGGCCTAAATAAGGCACACACCGCTCTATTAAATGAATGTATTGGCCATAAGAAACTCCGCCTTTCCTGTGGGCGGGGCGTGCGCTTGAAGTAAAAATTTCGTCGTGAAAAAATTAGCCGTTTTTCGTCCAAAAACATCCAAAAAACCAGGAAATGGGGGTTGAATAGACCATAGATCACCCCCCTATCATACTATTATATAAACCAGAGTTTGTTTGTCTGACCGCTCCCCAAAAATTCACAAGTGTCCCCCACATCTTCAGGTTCACGGTTTATATACTTGATTCTGAGACCACTCGACCCACTTCAGTTCCACTCCATTTCCTCTCCAAAACCCCAGACCATCGGCAAGGGGGGGCAAATACCTCTGATGAAACGGGAAAATCCTCGAATTTGAAACTTTCACGCTTGATAACTTCTTTCGCCCAAAAATCATCAAAAACTGGGATGGCGGTGTTAAACAGCCTTGAAACGAGAAAAACAATCAATTGTCTTAACTTCTCCCACTTTTCCACCCTCTTTCTCCTCCCTTTCACGTTATACCTAGACCCCCAATACCCAGAACACTCCCATCAGCAACACTTCTGCCATGTTCCAGATACCCAAATACATGAAAGTAAGACAACCCGAGAATGCCTACAAACTCTCCAACATTCTTACCTGAATTGAGGATGCCTGACAAAAAATCCGTGACTTCATCATCATATGCACAATGCAAAAGTAGAATGGCAGACATGAACTATTTATTCTGGGCATGAAATACCCTTCAATTGGCTAAGCATCGCTCTCACGCGAGTGTGTAGAAAAATGGATGGGTGATTATCGGTATCCCTCTGCATTTATAACTCTTTTCTGAAACGGTTCGGAAAGCCGAAAAAGTACTTCGGGAGCTCGGGATTGCCATAAGTGTTGTTGTTGAAAACTTCTGAGCTATCAACAGATACGGATTATATATACATAGGTTTTCCCCTAAGGGGTCGGAATTGGTCACCTCTCACACTATTCACTGGGTGAGGTCGCAGCAACCAAAATTCTATACGGTCATGTATGATTGCATATGTTTTGCGCAACTCGGGTCAGTATCATCCCCCACAAGTCATCTTCTCACCGCAGCCGTCTCTCGCGCTCGGTATCGTGCGCAGCCCACTGTTGGTTCTAAAAACTCTAATGCACGTGCCTGTCACATGACAATCACATGTTTCTCCACCTTGCGATTTTCTGCTTTGGAAAGTTTTGCAGGTTCGTTGCTATCTAGAAAATGCTGAGAAAACTGTACACTTCTTTCGCAGAGAATCACATTTTGTCAAGGATTACGAAGTGTGTCAAATGTTAGTCGTTTTCATAAGTAATCGTATGCGACGAGACCCTTTGACGGCTCCTACCGCTTCTCACTCAGCTCATGTCTCGTGTCCTCTAAATATCAGCGGTTTTAAAATCTCAGCATACTTGCTTCGTCATGATGATGCTGGCCGTCGTGCACTTATTTTAGAATTTTCTTTAACAAATCTTTAGGAGGTGTCACCAACAGGAGAATGACGCCTCTAACACCCCCTTACATTAAATCTTGACATCCGCGTTAAAAACTTTAAAGCCAACGCTGAAGCGCGCCTTTCAGAATCTCGACTGGTGGGACATGTCCTCCTCTCCGGCCGGGACAACTGGGTACGAATCCAAGCTACGGGGAGAAGCCCCAAAATTAAGGGCAGGGAACATGTCCCTGCGGGATGGGGACTCGCCCGGGCTGGGGCCTGGGCCTGCTGCTCCCGGCCCAAGAAGGCCGACTTACAAATCTAAGATGCTCAAAAAAACAGGATAAAATCAGCCAGCCAATGATGTGGCACTAGAGCGAAATTCTCCGAAAAAAAAAAATATCCAATAAAGCAGACACATCAAAACCCGCACTACTTTCTAGGCAGCCTAATACGTTTACAAGAACTAGCAGAGAAGTTCAAAGAACGTTTCCACCTATTTTACCAGCCAGCTACTGGAATTTCACGATCATAGTAAAGCTCCAAAAAATTTGCAGTCAAAATACTCGTGGAACCCATTTGCCGGAGGTAAATATTACAGAAGGTTCGAGCACCAAAACCACTCCACCTATTCCAGTCTGTTAAACAGTCTCAAGAGCATCTTATATTATTTCGCTCAAAGCCAACTAACCGATACTTCTACATGAAACCGATGTCCACTTGGAACATTGAAGATGTAGAAGAACTCCATTGTCTTCCCGGAGCACCACACCTTAAACACAGACATTAAATTCGCACAGCGAGCACTATAAATAGGCACTGCGCTTAGAACATGTATTTAGAACATCACAAATCACACGAGTACCGAAACCAACGCTATCCGAGATATTCTGGGAATTATTAGCTGCAAAAATAAAGGTAACAACTTTGAGCTAGAGGTATCTGGTGTGCAATAAGTTTTGACTCCTTTTTTCCTGAAGTTCAATTTTTTCTGATTCTAGGAAAACAGTGTAATCTTCAAAATATGGGCCACAGAAAATGCAATGTACAAAATGATCAACCAAGTCGTAAACAACTCGTTGATGCCAGTACGGTTGACGAAGAGAGGCTTTCTTTTCAAAGGAATATCTAAACTTGAGTGTCTCATAACTGTGCTTATTCTGGGGTTATTAAGGTTTCGACTATCTAAGGGAAGCATTGTGTTCTTCAGATTACCCCGGCCGATATGGCCGATGTCAGACTTTGCGATTGGAGCGATTTTGCACCAATCGCAAAGTCTGACATCGGCCTATTGGGCAGTACTTCAACTTTCATTCGGCTAAAAGGAAAACCCGAAAAATCTGTTTGTTCGCTGAGAATGTCGGGGAAAAAACCTGACGACAACTCTTCGAAGTACTTGAGAAAGGCCAGCATTCTCTATGATGTTGTCTTTTGTGGAGTGGCGTTCTCTTTATGCTTGTTCGATCCAATACCGCTAGAAAATCCTGATAATAGTGCTTCCGCAGAGATTGAACTACTAAGAGACAAGTCCCTTCTGTATTCCTGATTGTAGGATTAGACAATTCTCTCCTGCAGAAAAATACTTCTTTACATACCTTCATTTGAGAAATACACAATACTTAACATTGCGGAGAAGAGTACATTCCAACCTGTCGAAAAACTTCATAATTGCCTCTTGCACCAATGCCATCAAAAGAATTTGCTACCTAGCATGGTTCACGGTTCGAACTCAACAGGGTCCTCGGAGGATGGACCTTACGACGTTATCTAGAACGCTGGCCAAAACTGGTCTCAGAGATCAGTTTCTTGGAAGCTATCCACCAGATGACCGACTGAAGAAATGTGCAGCAGCTCAGGCTGGAGCGATACGGTAGGCCTCGTTGAGCTCAACGGTGATAGCAGACGTCATATTCTGAAGACGGTGAGGGTAGGAAGGAGCGCCTGCTTCGGCTTATGTAGAATTTTGCCGTAAAACTTCTATCAACAGCGGTACCCTGCGCGACGAAAATCGGTGATGCAAAATTATGACATTATTATCCTTTTCCGCGTTGGTTAGTGATAATCAGCCGACAAAAACCCAAGGGGTGCACCTTATGACACCGGATGTCATGCAGTCCCCTTCTTTACCGTACGAATTTGTACGAAGGCGGTTATAAAGCCGGCTACAAAACAACCCAATATGGACGCATAAGAAGTTGGCTCGCACGAAGTCGTCGCAAAGAGGAAGGAACGAAGGTTCCATTTTGTCTCAACTATATCTGGCGAACTGTGTGCGACCATACGGTCACGCGTACAAAAGGTTGGTCTTCAAGATGTGGTGAGGGTTGTATATATTCCGTCTACAAACCTTAAGGTGCAACTAGTCCAAAATCGGCTTTATGACCACCTTTGTACAACCGCTTCCCTGTCTATCCGTACGTTTAAGAAGGGGACTGCATGACGTCCGGTGTCGTGTACCTATATAATATCATGCCTTCAGGAGCATGCGTAGGAAACGGGCCGACCTGTTTGCATCCGCATAAAGTAACATCTATATGGTATGCAAAAGTCCAAAATTTCCTCTCCGTTGGGAGAGCATAGGGTTCGATATCACGAATACACATGTTTCGCGGTGGCTTCCACGATACTATCACGAGATTTCGACATTTCTGCTCGACCGACCTGGAGGCCTTTTGGATCACAGCGAAAACCCCTAAGGGAGGGAAGTGTTGGGAAAGGGCAGTCACTTGACATGCGTGAAAAGC